CTTACTTCCTACGCGGGACATACAGACATGGACATGGATGAACCGCGCCTCAGAACTTCTCCTCAGGCAATGCCCCTTCTTTCTTCAGTTGCTCCAGGGCTTTCAGCTGCTCTGGGGTGATCTGCCGCACGTTCCCAGAGTCCAGAGTCACAATAAGTCACAATCGAGGAACAACGTGGAAGTGCACATCAACACATTATATGATGATATATGATGCTATGTTTTTTCTGTTGGTATCTGTTTTTTTCGCAGTCAGCTAGGGTAAAAACAGACTGTGTTCATGGAGAATCTTCGTCAGCTGTCAGGACATCCCAGGACCGGAGCCACGCCTCTGCAGTTCGAGCTTTTTCCAAGGTCTTCTCATCTTCGGAAATCCTCGTCCCGTGCCGGGCTTGGAGATGCTTGGAGGCTCGCAGGGACACAGCAATAGCAGGACGGCAAACTGGAGGCTGAGCTATTGGAATCATGGATTTCTCAAAACTTTGGCCATCCACACCCCATGTCAGGCCCCCGGGCACAAAGGAGTCAGCCACCTCGGTCACTGCCTGGATGGAACTCGGAAACTCAGCAGTCGACGGCATGCTTCGATACACAGCAAAAAAACGAGAAATGTCTAAGACATCTTGATGAATCCAGAAAATCATCCAGAACAGGAAAATTCAAGTCGGTAAATTCCAATGCGCACATGACCATTCATCATAATCCATACCTATAGATATCCATAGCAATGTACCATGAAACTTCACCGTAGCCACCGTAGCCTCCTTAAGGACGCCCCAGTTATCTCGGGCTTCTTGTGCAGGGCCGCTGATGTCCAACAACCAAATGTAGTAAGTCGGATCCTGCCACGCAACATCCGCAACATCTGCATGTCATATTTCACCCTGAGTCAAGGCCACAAATAGTTGCCCCTATCATTCCAGTGACCTTTTCAAAACCCCTGATTTGAGGTCACTGTTTTCAGGTGGTGCCGACAAAAAAGAGCCGGTGTCCCGAGCTTCAAACAACCCTTTGACCCTCCGTTTGTAGCCAGCAAAGCCAGCTGTTTTGGCACCATCATTTTAGTGGGTGTTACCATGTTTGGTTTTTTTTGGATGGTCTAAGAAAAAACAGTACCCTCTGGTAATTTAACATAGCTATGGAAAATCACCATTTTTAATGGGAAAATCCACTATAAATCACCATTTTCAATAGCTACGTTAAATTACCAGAGGGTATGTGACATTCTAGATCTGGGGTGATTGTTGAAGGTCCACAATTTTAAGGACCAGCCTCTTCGGGATGTTCCCTGGGTATATGTTCTGAACCAAAATTATCGCTTCCAATGCTTTGGTACTAAAATTATTGACCCTGATTTTTCTTGCCAAGATAGGTGTGCCTGAAAATTGGGAACATCATATCAGTTTGTGATATGTCCCCATTATTACCCAAACTATCACCACTTTATCCTCATTTTGCTGGTTTTCTGGTTGGCAAATAGGGTGTCCCATAATATCCATCATGATTTATGATACCCGCCGGTAATCAAACATGGTTTGCTGGAAATTTCTCGATTCATAGATGAATTTCCCAACTGTAAACCTCCGTTTAGTCTTGGGGATTTTCCAGCCACGTTTGATGACCCCAGAAAATAATTAATGTAAATCATCCCCGATTTATTGGATAGAGTATGATATAGTAATCATTACAATCCAATTTTCTCGATATATTGGACAGTATACCCTCTGGTAATTTAACATATCGGAACATGACCGTTTTATAGTTGATTTACCGAACTTAAAAATGGTGATTTTCCGTAGCTGTGTTGAACTGCCAGAGGGTAATCCCCGAAAAAAAATCAACCAACCGGATTTTTGAGGCTCTGATCCCTTGCCTTCTCGCCCCGTGCTGTGGCGCCCTCATCAGTGACGGTCAGCAGGATACGATGGCGACGCTCGTACAAAGGCAACTCAGAGGTGTCCTGACCGAAGGGACAAACGTCAAAATGTCATACGACTTATAGATGTTTAGCATCAAAAAACAAGGAAAACCAAGAGAATTTGATGGTTGATCATCATTCTCCGAAGATGAACATAGCAATTTTGGGGTACACCCCATTTTCAGAGACAGCAAAATGAGGCGTTCGACATTGTTCAACGATGTTTAAACAATAAAAACGGATAGGAATCTGGATTTAGTAATTCTCTAGTGGGTGGTTTCATCAGTGAAACATATGAAAAACAGTTTGCAAATTGGTTTAAAACACCATTAAGATCCATTAAGTATAGGTAGATTTATACATTTACTGTAAATTCTGGTCACTAGAACTATCAATCAACGTAGCAATCTTGTGAGCACTAAGGTGCGTTGCTATCGAAAGTAGAAGACACAACCCATGAGTGCAAAATCGCAGGATCCAAAAAAAGACTGAACTCTTGTGAGCGGCAATCTCAGTGCTCAGTGTTTTGAGCCATGCAAAGTGCGCAATGTGAAGTGTGGGCAGCACCAACCGAACGATCAGAGGATTCCAAGCAAGAGAAGTGGATGTTCGCCCCCGAAATGGCTAGGTTTTGACCCCCATTGTCTTGACATTTGAACAAATTGTATGAAGCAAAGCATCTTGCAAGTGGAAATCCATGCAAATTATCCCGGCGAGAGACCCCAAACAGTGTGGGGGTGTGAGAGGAGAATGTATGATAATGTTGTTGTTGATGATGAAGATGACGATGATGTTGAGGACGATGAGGTGCAGGATGGTGTTCAGGATGATGAGGGGAAGGATGATGATGTTGAGGGTGATGAGGTGGAGGATGGTAAGGTGGAGGATGATGATGTTGAGAAGGATGAGGATGATGTTGAAGATGATAATGTCGAGAAGAATGATGAAAAGGATGATAATGTGGCGGAAGAGCAGGTGGAGGATGATGATGTTGCAGATGAGGAGGTGGAGGATGATGATGTTGTGGAGGAGGATGTTGAGAAGGAGGATGAGGATGATGATGTTGATGAGGAGGAAGATGATGATGTGGAGGAGGAGGGCCGATCCCAAGACCGCGACAACCGTTTTGTGGGGCCCAGGGTGAGCCCAGAACGCAGACACAAATTTTGTGCGAGCCTGCGCAGGCGAAATGCACTTGGACATTTCACAAGAGCCACTTTATACGGAAATTTACAGGAAAAATGTCGCAGCCCAGATGGAGCACTCTGATCAAGCACCGGCCTTTACACCTACCGTAAGAACCCCTCAGTGTGGACACACTGTTTAGAGAAATAGGAGGGATGTGTTCTGAACACAGCTATAGAAACTACACCAGAAACATGAAGCACATTTGGACATCAACAGAACAACTCTCTACATTACTCGATTTATAAGGATGCAAAACAAGAGTAGTCACCAATATAATGACAAAAGCCAGCCTCAATTGCCATACAGGTATCGCCCTTGCTACCCTTCGTCACCTCGGAAATCTTCAGGTCAGGGGTGATGGTAAAGCCTGGTGGAACCATCCATGCTAAATGGGAGACTTGCTACTCACTCACATGACAGTTATTTTGGCATATAGAATAATATAATAATACATATATATATATATATGGTATATGAAAAATATTTATACATTTACTTATGTGTATATATATATATGTGCAAATGCATATATATATATATATACATACATACATGTATACATATACACATGTAAATCAATAAATACACACATCTATACATATACATGTATATACATATATACAGTACATGTATATATACATTTACATATATATATATGATTTACATACGTACGTATAGATGTATACATATATATATATGCATATATATATATATACATACATATATATATATATACGTATTTTTATATATACATATAAATATGTACATATATGTGTATATATATATGGATATAATATATATATATATATGTACATATATATATATATATGTATATTAATATGATATATATGGTTATATATATATACAAACATACGTAAATATATTGCATGCATGATCTGCGTTGGGAATGTAGATAGTGTGTGGCTTTCATAGTTTTGAACCCTTTCGTAGTCAGCATATATGAAACCAACTGTGGGTTACAAGAATGGATATCTCAGACTTTGGTCAGTCGTAGAGTAGACCACTCCAGAATCCATGTTCCGGTACCCAAAACCTTGAGAAATTGATAATGGGCGTGTCTGAAGAGGGATACCGGGATTGGTAATTTGAGAGGGAATATAATGATAATTCATGGGATTTAGGGGTTTTGTTGTCTGAAAATTCTGCATAAATTGTAATAATTCACTAAGCTGAAAAGTTCCGTTGTTTCAGGGTGATTTTCCCAATCCGAACCATCATCTGTGGTGAGACAAAATGGAGTCGCTATAATCTACCCATGTATACATCTGGATATCGCCGATAGCCCTAAAATTGAAAATTACCAAGATCTTCCTGGGCCTTCATGTTTGACCCATATCGCTTCATGTTTGACCTGTCCCCTCGACTTCATCGAGAGGCAACGCCAGGACAAATGCTCGCCTCGTAGTCATACTTCAAATATCCTGCAGTATTTCATCCACTGATCCATCTACGGATCATTGTTTTATGACATTTCAAAGGGATTTAACATGATCTAACCAACCATCCCCACTTCGGCGACACCAACAGTCAGAGCTTCGAGAAGCAGGGATTGAGGGCGAACCACATTTCACATCAACACCCATGTTAAGGCTTAACAAGGACGAATCTTTACCATCGGTTCTTGGTGGCGAACCCCAATTCTGACTGGACCGAACTCCACTTGCCATAGGTAGCCATTTGTTGATTTCATTGTTTTCATCATGTCTCACACATAGCTTTGTCCCGCCATCACGGACAATCTGAGATACCCTGTATGAATGGTTTCCTTAGTTGGGTAAGAACTGTTCCCACTCAAAAAACGAAAACATTGATATGAAAAAACAAATCAATAGCTCTGGCAATTCCACATAGCTCATGGATAATCACCGTTTTGAAGCTCGGTAAATCATCGAACCTTTCATGGGCCATCTATTCCATGGTTCACCCAGTCACATCATGTGAGCCATGCAAAATACCACTCTCTCATCCCATGAAATACTGCTTGGTCCAGAACGGTATGCCGTTTTATCTATAGGTTAATCCATCATCCATAATCCATCAGAATGTCCAATAAATTAGCCTCTGGTAAACGTTTACAAAAAACTATGGAAAATCACCATTGTTAATAGGTAAATCAACGAACTAAATGGGCATGTTCCAGTTCGCAAACTGTTAGTTTACCATAGTTTACCAAAGGGTATATCCCATTCATATCCCATTGAATCACTATAAGATCCCATTTTTTATAACTATAATCCATCATAATGGATATATCCCATTGATATCCCATTAATTTCCCAATAACATTAGGTACTACAACCCGCAAAAAAATGTCATCCCACCATCAATGTTCCTTGTAGCCCCCTAATATCAATAGTTCGATGATTCTCCCAGGTTGACACAGGAGAAGAAGTAACCAACAAACCACTGAACCATCAGAAAAACCACTTAAATTGATGGTTAAATCTCCGTGTCCGACATGTTTTTAATCATCATTAACCATCAGAAAAACCATCATTAACCATCATTAACATGGTTCGATCTCCATGTCCAACATGTTTTAACCATCATTAACCATTATTTACCATCATTTACAATTATTTACCATCATTTACCATCATTTACCCATTAGTTACGGTGTTTTCTCCGAGGAGCGCCGACCATAAATCACCTTCTCAGCCGGCTGTTCCAAGAAGTTCCACCTGAACTTAGCGACGTGCTAACGACTTCAGGGGCAAGCTATGAGCAAATCAATGGAAGTCATCAATTTACCCTCTGGTAATTTAACATAGCTATTGAAAATCACCATTTATAGTGAATTTTTCCCATGAAAAATGGTGATTTTCCATAGTTATGTTAGTTTACCAGAGGGTATAAGTCATGATATATATATATATATATATTATGTAATCTGTGTGTGTGTCATGATATACAAGGATATCCATTCTGTACTAAACACGGGGAGAAATCACTCCTCACCGGGAACAAGAGATCCTGAACCGCTTCCCGTATCCCTTTGGGTTGAACTAAACCATCTGGGTTGGATCATTTTCTTCCTGGGCTTGAATCACCCACATGTGAATTTGTCAAAGATAGCCTAGTACCCCAAAATCCAGTAATTTATCATGTTCCCTTTAAAATTGCCATAAATTAGGGTATTCAGCCCATTTTGGACAAACCTATATCATACCGTTACACCCCCATGATACTCTCATTGAAATCCACATCTCATGCTTTACTTTCAAAAGTTGTTATCTTTATAGATGTGTTTCATTTGCAAACAAACCGTATACATTGAAATTCACTCCTCATGATCCTTTTAGACATCTAAAATTCCCATAGTTTGATTGATGCTTAGATACTAATTCCCATATTACAATATTGACACAATCCCATAGTCATTTATATGAAAAAACAAACACACAGAATCATGTGGATGTCAATAAGTGGGTATTCTCATGATCACAAATCATAAACAATCCAAGTAGTATATAATATTTATTTTAAAAGAAACACAACCACTCATTGAAATTCCCTCCTTATGATTGAAACTTGATTAAATCCAAGTCATGGATGACTATGACTTGGTATTGAAACCCATGGTGACTTGGGGGTACCACCATTTTTAAGAAACCTCCATAATATGGTAATTTCAACCAGTTTAGCAACAACAAATCCCCTATGAATACAGCTTTTTATCTGGGAAATCATAATAATCACAATCATCCTAATTTATTCCCAAAATAATCATATGATAACGATCATAATGACCATAATCATAGTAATCATCATCAAGAATCATAAAATCATAAAATCATAAAATCATTCCATTATCATCATCATCATCAGCATCATCAGCATCATCATCATCATCATCACCATCACCGTCACCATCACCATCACCATCATCATCATCATCATCAACTCATAATCCCCCTATATATAAATTACTATGATCATTTAAGGATGTTCAAGAACTCCCCATGCCCCATGCCGCCAGGCGGCTTGATCAAGCCCGGCGCTGTCTTTTGAGAGGAGGTGACCACCTCCTAAAACAGGCGGGTCGGGTGAATACTTGGAGGATTGGCGAATCAGCCCTGAAAAAATGCCAAAAGTTGTGTTTCCAGGAGGTTAGTTTGATGATGTTTGATGGTATTTCATACATATTTCCAGGTTGTCCCACAGTTCGGCATCTGTTTGGGGGATTGCGACATGTGTAAGATGTAAAAAATCCATGGCGTTTTCCTGGGAAAATGGTCTACATTGATGGTGGATTTTCCACATCGAACTGTTGGTTTACCCCAGTGTTTTTAGATAGGTGCTACCCTTAAAATTTAGACTTAGTGGATGTTATTTCTGTAGATAGTCTACATGTGAAGGTTCATATTATCGTATATATATATATATATGTATGTATATATATATACAGATATATAATCATATATATATATTATACATAGTTGGTTATGAGATGTCATTGGGCTTTTGTCCGGCGTTTGCTGCAATAATTATACAGATTGTTGGATAGTAATACCCTTGAAGAATATTGGGGATTCTCAGAATGATCACCATCCATGAATTCGGAATCGCGGTCTCAACCAGTAAATACAAAAGGATGACAGAGGGTTTTGAACACTGCTCTCGTTTCTGGTGAGTAATTATATGAACGTGAGATTCAATGTGATTCCTATTATATTCCCATCATTCCCAACGAATGATTCTGGCTTTGCTGTATAGATCAGTAATTTGTGGTTTCCTTTGATTCGGAGGAGCTGTAGAAGGGGTGAACAATTCCTACAACTGGTGACCCTACGTCAGCTTAGTGAAGCGCATGATTTTATTATTTTTTGGACCAGAAGGTACTGCTAGCAATAGTCATCAGCAATAGTTATAATAAGTTACAAGATATAAAAGTAATAAGCCGCTGTTGAAAAGGATATGCCCAGCTCAGAGACGTACCAACCATGGTTACGAGCCCCATGCTGAGGATGATATAATGATCAGCCATGGCAGTTCTTGTCCAAATCTATCAACACAAAACCCGCAAATTTCAACCAATGGAGTGTCTGCTTTTAAGTGGCTGCTGCCCAAGTATGAACATGGCACATTTGCCCTGTGTGATGTTGATATTCCACTCGATGGTTCCCCAAGAAATACTGTGGCCCGGCTACATCCGACCGCTGAATCCTCCGTTGCTACTGTGAAACTGTTGCATGTTTACGGCATTTCTTTGTGCGTCCAAAGACAGGATTGCCCGACATCCAAATCTTCAGATATCTATTTGAATTCTATGTGTATTATCTGTAGCCAAAACCCGTCCAGCTACAAGCAGAGCTTCAGCCCCAGCCGGGTCTATAAATCATTGATAATCCCATCAAAACCCATAAAGAACAGCATTGAACACGTTTTGGAAACGTATTGCAAAACATATTTTCGCAGGATTTTTGCTGCGTGACATCCCCATTGTTTCACCCCTTTGCCCCACATCATCCCACATCCGGCGGCTTGGCGGTGCAAGGCTCGGCGGCTTTGGCAGTTGGCACCGAGGGCTGCTTGTCCAAGCCAGAGGTGAAATAGCTCACCAAATCCTGTCCGGCAGCAGTTTGTAACCCGTTGGTTGGTGGTAAACCCAATGACATAAAACCTGGTTGGTGGTTGACCCACCCCTCTGAAAAATGATGGAGCGAAAGTCAGTTGGGATGATTGTTCCCAATATATGGAAAAATAAAATTCATGTTCCAAACCACCAACCAGAACTCAGTCAAACTCTATAAACAGCTACCATGACTGGGAATGCTTTACACAAGACTTAAATCCTCCCACATACCAACCGAATGTGAGGCCATAGATCCCGAAAAAGATTCGCCATAGATCCCAGGACAAACCTTTAAAATCATCTAAGAAAAGGTGAGGCCCCCCAGCGATGTGAACGTTGATTTATTAAGCCGACTTCTTGAGTACCCCATAGTCACCATAGTCAATCCACAGTGAACACTGTCCTCACCTTGTAGATGTGGCAGCTTTTTGAAGTTTGAGATGCATTTTTCTGCAAATATGATCAAATATGACCAATGTATAGCACGGTATACATCGATGATTCGTTTCTTTTGGTCGCCAGATCTTTGCCAGTTTGTGTACTCTTGGAATTCAGAGAATCCTGACAAACAGCAGTTCATTGTGTCACGAGTTTTTCTTTTTTTCATTTCTCATTTCTGGTTTTTCGGCACCAAATCAAACGATCTGGGCAAATTACGCCATGGCTCAAAACCCTGTAGCCCTGGTAAACATCAAAATAGCTGGGATTTATGGAATTTCATCCCCCTTAAAATGGTATCCGTATATATATATATATAAATAAATATGTATATATATATATAAATAAATATGTATATATATATATACACCATCATTATTGGACGAAATTCTCCACCGGTAACCATCATTTCTTCTCCATCGCCAAAAATCTCAAATTATTCCAGAAATCCCTGGTATATCCCCGTTGTATCGAAAAAAAACTTCCTACATGTGTTTTTTTTAACCTGCTATATCCCCATTGAAATCCTGCACCAGTTGATAGATGGTTTATCCCATGATTTATAGGGTTTCAACCATCCAAGGTGGTGCAGGATTTCTTCAATCCACAGTATCACCATTAAAAGGGTATGTCTGAAAATAGGGTATACTCCCAATTATAGCCATTTAGTAGGGATAATGATCATTAACCATTGGGTGTAGGCGTACACTATTTTCAGACAAACCCAAAAAAAGATTGATGCCGTTCTGGCTCCTTGTTGCTCTTGGCATTTGGGTCATTGGGATCCAAGGACAATGGCACCCGCAGTACCACCAGCTCTCCGCCTGAAGATTTCGGGTGGATGGATGGGGCCCCCCAGTTATAAGTTGGTGGTAGATATAAACCCCATTTAGTATAGTAGATATCTACTTTAACTCAGTTTATGGTAGATATCTACTTTGATAATTTATAAACCCCATGAATACTATAGTTATCCTTCGTTATATCCATAGGATTTTGCCATTTATAAGGCAACTGAACGCCATCTTGGGGGCCCCATCCTCTAGATGGATGGTTTGACCAACAGAAATGATGGTTTGACCACAAAAAATAGTGGTTTGACCAGGAAAAATGATGATGATATCATGGTGTGGTGTCAATGGTATGCCGTATTACCATCAAACATGATGATGAAACATGGCCATGATGAATCCGATGTTTTCTAGAAAATCATGATGACATCATGCTTGAAGATGGCTGTTGAACCAAGAAAACATCAGGCTTTTCCTATGCTTTTCTCACCATCACGGAGCTGAAAAAGCAGGATGCCTTGTTCCGGGTTGCCGGCCACCACCAGCGCGGTGGCTTTCTTCACCTCTGGCGGCGGCTGGGCGTTTTGCTCGAAGGTTCTCCAGGTCCTCCGCCACATCAAGAATGCTGGGAAAACAGCCGGGAAATACCATGAAAAACGCTGATGAATACTACACAAGTGTATAATTATATAAATACATATAAATACAATATTTATATATATATACTGTACGCATTTCATATAGTGGAACATGGGTCTTTAAACCAACAAAGATGGGGGGTTCAATATGGTTGAATATGGTCAAATTCGGCAATTCTGCAATAGTTACCGTTACTTGACCACCAATCCAGTGACATTGCAGTGAAGCCGTTACAAACACAACTTATCGGATGTTGGACAAACAAAAATACTAAAATGGTGATTTAAGATGATTCCATCATATTCCCAGGTCTGTAAGAACAACTTCAATAAAAAATCAAATGTTCGACTTAATGGAATGATTTAGGGCTTGGGGAAATGTCGTAGGAGCATATTTTGTACCCAAATACAGGGGTTTGTGTGAGATGTCTCTTCAACCTAGTCTAGGCTCAACAAACCGGAATTGGAATTTGACATGATTTCGCTAAGAAAAATGAGCTTGTAACCAGCCAACATGGGATGTTTCAATCGATGCTAGGATTCGTAAGGCAGAGCATAAGAGTGATGGGTTCAGATGCATTGGTATTGGGAGACAAAAACGCAGCAACTAAGAATACAATAAATATCAATAAATACTTCAGGATGGGAATATGATCAACCAAGACAGGGGCATATCGCGTTAGCCTCTTTAAAAACTTTAGCCAAGAGCAGGATGTCACAAAGGGAAAATCTTGAAGAAACCATTCTGGATCATTGTGGTTGTAGCGGGTTCCTGCAAATATTCCCTAATAAACCATTTCTGGGAGGACTTCAGCGTGCAGGCAAATTCACCCTTGGACCATCATGGATCTTGTGAAGTGCCAAGCAGGAGACAGGGTTGTCTTTGCCGGTACTTCCGCACAAAGCCAGTTTGTCAGATGCAATTGACTTCGTCACTTAGTCCTTTCAAGTCCCCACATGGTCGATGTATGTCGATGTGACCTCAAAATCTGGCAGTCTGATTACTTGAAGCCCTTGAAACCAACCATCCACATCATTCACAGCTCACAGCCTGGGAAGTTTCAGTTGCCAGCCCTGCTCCGCACGCGCAATTTGCGGCGCTTGCAAGGTACCCAGCAGGCCCGGCAACGCCGCAGCCAGTCCCAGACTTCGGCGAGGCAATGCACCCTGTGGCACCTGGACTGGATCCAAACTCCAGCGAGCTTTGGATAGGTTTCGTTGTGCAAATGAATAAACGGCGAGTTGATTATGTTGATTTATCAACTGTCAACTTAGGAACATCTCCGGGTTTGTCTGAAAATGAGCCCCCAAGCTCCCAAGTTCAGCCATAATTCGGAAAACATGATGATGAACAATCAATTTTTGGGCCAACCAATTGTACAAAACATCTACAAACCCATCTGGGTACAGTCAAACGACAAACTCATGCCTAACTCATGCCTGGGTCAAAACTTGCTAGTAAATCACCATGGAATCGCTGTTTCAAGAAACTCATGCCTAAGTCATGCCCAAATCTTAAAACACCATGGAATCGCGTATGTATAAGAAGAATGTTTCCACACTTAGGAGAATCAAATGTTCGCAAAAATCCGTCTACAGTTGCATTCTACCGTTCATGTTTCTGGGGTTGAGAAATACTTGCCGCTTCGGTCCGCTGACTTTTTTCGCTTTGCTGACTCTTTTCGCTTTGCTGCTCCCAGTCCATCAGTGGCTTCGCTCTGCCATCCGTGATTCACAACAACCAACCTCTCCTATAGGTTTCCTATTTTTGAAACCACGACGTGCCGAACGACGTCCGAACGACGTAGCAAACGACGTCAAAAAATAACAAGAAAGGCTCTCTGCCCACCCGCCTGCCGAACCACATAAGAAACTAAAACCGACACGAAGACACAACAATGACCCTTCTCACCTCCATCTCAAGCAACACGCTGAAGTGCCACAATGCCGCGTTGAGCACGCAGTGAAAAGTGAAAATGGCATGCCGCAGCACACTGGAAAGAAAAAGATAGAAACACCAACTCATCGCTACACTCACATCCAGTTTGACTTGGTATGGAAAAGGTTACTCTTGATGCTAAACACAACCTAAACGCAAGATTTATTAACAATATGGAAAAGGTACTCTTGATGCTAAACACAACCTAAACGCAAGATTTATTAACAATATGGAAAAGGTACCCTTGATGCTAAACACAACCTAAACGCAAGATTTATTAACAACTAGACGACGGATGGCCCGAGAGCGTAGAGGAGCAGAGTCTTCTGTTGTTAGTATGGAGACACTATATTAAAGATGTATTATAGGCAGACGAGAAGAGTAGTATCAAGACAATATATGACTAGTACAAGACAATAGTTTGCATCGTATTTTTGTAAAGTTTTTCATACACAGACCTTTTTACAGACAGACGCTTTTGCACACAGAGACTTTTACACACAGAGACTTTTACACACAGAGACTTTTACACACAGACGCTTTTACACACAGACGATTTTGCACACAAACACTTTTACACTTACACACAAACACTTTTACACACAGAGACTTTTACACACACAGACGCTTTTACACACAGAAGCTTTTACACACAGAAGCTTTTACACACAGACGCTTTTACACACAGACGCTTTTACACACAGACGCTTGTTACACATAGGCTCTTTTACACACAGACACTTTTACACACAGACGCTTTTACACACAGACGCTTTTACACACAGACGCTTTTACACACAGACGCTTTTACACACAGACGCTTTTGCACACAGAGGCTTTTACACACAGACGCTTTTGCACACAGACGCTTTTACACACAGACGCTTTTACACACAGACGCTTTTACACACAGACGCTTTTACACACAGACACTTTTACACACAAACGCTTTTACACACAGACGCTTGGACACACAGACGCTTTTACACACAGAGGCTTTTACACACAGACGCTTTTACACACAGAGACTTTTACACACACAGACGCTTTTACACACAGACGCTTTTACACACAGACGCTTTTACACACAGACGCTTTGACACACAGACGCTTTTGCACACAGACGCTTTTGCACACAGTCTTTTACACACAGACGCTTTTACACACAGACGCTTTGACACACAGACGCTTTGACACACACGCTATTACACACGCTTTTAACACCAGATTACACCAGACGCTTTACACACAGAAGCTTTTACACACAAGTAAAATCGCAAATTTTCCTCAGTTTTTGACGATCGACCCTCATTTCGTGCGAAAGGGTTGCTCGGGGGCAAGTAAAATCGCAATTTTTCCTCAGTTTTTGACGATCGACCCTCATTTCGTGCGAAAGGGTTGCTCGGGGGCAAGTAAAATCGCAATTTTTTTCCAGTTTTTGACGATCGACCCTCATTTCGTGCGAAAGGGTTGCTCGGGGGCAAGTAAAATCGCAATTTTTCTTCAGTTTTTGACGATCGACCCTCATTTCGTGCGAAAGGGTTGCTCGGGGGCAAGTAAAATCGCAATTTTTCCTCAGTTTTTGACGATCGACCCTCATTTCGTGCGAAAGGGTTGCTCCGGGGCAAGTAAAATCGCATTTTTTCCTCAGTTTTAGCCGATCGACCCTCATTTCGTGCGAAAGGGTTGCTCGGGGACAAGTAAAATCGCAATTTTTCCCCAGTTTTTGACGATCGACCTTCATTTCGTGCGAAAGGGTTGCTTTAGCACAAGTAAAATCGCAATTTTTCCTCAGTTTTTGACGATCGACCCTCATTTCGTGCGAAAAGGTTGACGTTTCGTGACTCACCGCCGGTACCACCCTCGGCCTAAAGAGAGAAAGATAAAGAAGGCGAGAGAGAGAAAAAGGAGAGAGAAAGGAGAGAGAGAAAGGAGAGAGAATGAGAGAGAGATTGAGAGGAGAGAAGATTGTGAAGATGAAGAAGGTTGTGAGAGAAGGGGTGAAGATGAGAAGGGTGTGAGAGAAGAGTGAAGATGAGAAGGTGTGTGTGAGAGAAGATGTGAAGATGAGAAGGTGTGAGGAGAAGATGTGAAGATGGAAGGTGTGAAGATGAGAAGGTGTGAAGAGAAGATGTGAAGATGAGAAGGTGTGAGAGAAGATGTGAAGATGAGAAGGTGCGAGAGAAGATGTGAAGATGAGAAGGTGTGAGAGAAGATGTGAAGATGAGAAGGTGTGAAGATGAGAAGGTGTGAGAGAAGATGTGAAGATGAGAAGGTGTGAGAGAAGATGTGAAGATGAGAAGGTGTGAGAGAAAATGTGAAGATGAGAAGGTGTGAGAGAAGATGTGAAGATGAGAAGGTGTGAGAGAAGATGTGAAGATGAGAAGGTGTGAAGATGAGAAGGTGTGAGAGAAGATGTGAGATGAAAGGTGTGAGAAGATGTGAAGATGAGAAGGTGTGAAGATGAGAAGATGAGATACAGACCCCCACTATTGGAAGAACCCTGCGCTCAGACGCTCTCGGGAAAAACTATTCCAAAGACCAAATCCAACAAAACATTGCAATTCCTATGCGTTTTACTAAAAGGCACGACTTTTCAAATCAAGTGCTCCCCAGCTATTTACGATGATTTCCAAATTTTAGGCACGACTTTAGCATTCCACTGTATGGGTCAAAATTAGGTACCTCAATAATTGGATGGTTAGTACTAAACTAGACTAACATCTGTGGTCCCCTAGGTCTTCCATTTTGACCCACATCCATCTACAAAGCAGAGATGTCGTGCCTCTGGCAGCAAAAATCCCGGCGCAACCCCCAGCGCCAGCAGCAGCAGTGCTGCTACGCCGCGCCGGTGGCCCTGGTGGCCTGTTGGAAGCTGCGCCATGGCAGCGGATGGACGCTGGAGCGCTGGAAATGGCCACGGGATGCCGGAGGTTCATAGGGGAAATGCACCCCTCCAACAGTAAATCCCCTAGAAAAACCTAGAAAAAACCATGATTTCCCTGGGGATGGGATTAATTTGGGAAAATGAAGCCTTAAGAATCCTTAAACCATTGGATTCTTTGGGGCACCAACGAAGCCCAAGTGGTGCAAGGAATGACCCCCCACAGATCCTGATCTGACGAATGCAAACGTATCAAATCACAAAAGAGAAGGCACTGGGGCAGAAATGATTGCTGTTCCGGGGGCAAGAAAACACCACTGGCTGCAACATCCCATACTCGACCTCTCATACTCGACCTCTTAGGGTCGAGTCAACTCATCTCATTAGGCCTGCTTGGCTAGCGGAAACCGCCAGTCGGACACCTCGCTTTTTTTCGACCGCCAGGTGCCAGCTGTAGCCGCTTCAACTTACGGAACATCCAAAATCATCAAAATGCCAAAATGGAAGATCCATGGCCAAATCATTTCATTTTTTATTTTTTTCATTCCTCAGCTATTCCATTGCCAAATCATTTCATTGCCAAATCATTTGAAGAGAAAAATGCCAAACATCATGAGTCCTGAAATGGGACGGTTTAATGCTAAAAGTTGGATGAATAAAATAGTCAAAAATGAATCAACACAATACCAAAGATCTGTGGTTTTGTGGAATGTTAAATGATGTTAAATTCAATGGGAATTCCAGGATCCTAAAATGGAGGTACGTTAGTACCATATAAGGCCATATTTTGTGGGGATATTCCCTGAATTTTAGGCCTTACATAGGCCCTATATATGGTAGGTACCTCCAATCTAGGATCCTGAAATTGCCATTGATAAATCTTGATCATCTGCTTTCCACATCACTCCAGCATCGTTGCTTGGCCACCCCCCGGCAGCGCGCCAAAGTGCCCCCGCAGCCGTGCGGCCGCGTCGCGCGCTGCACCGCGCACCTGGGTTTCCGTGACTGAAACCTGGATGACCTGGATAGGTCACATCCCACCCTGAAATGGAGGTGGTCAATAATGTCCTTTTGTTAAAAATAGAGGGGCCGGTTTGGTATACCATCTATCATCATTTACTTGTTGTTAAAGGGAATTCAAACCCCTCTATTTTCATCAACCAACCAATGGGAATTTGGGACATCTATGGGTCGGGTCGTCCAATCGTCCAACCATGGGTTTCAATCCTACATGGTCGACTTGGATGATTTGTGGTCCGGAAAACCCCCATGGTCATAGCTGGTAGAGCTGGTTTTCTTGCTGGATGTTGATTCACCAATCATGCAGGTTGGGGCCCCCAAGATAGCGTTCAGTTGGTTTATAAGTGGCTTAACTGTGGTTTATGACAGATACAACTATAGATAAGTATGGTTAATGGGATTTATAAACCAACTTACAGCTGGGGAGCCCCATCTTGTGTGGTAAGAATAGGTTTTGACTCATCCACATGTGGATATTTTCTACATTTTGGTGCCGAAATAGGGCTAAGATGGGTTGTAACAACTGGGACTTTACAGTAGATATATGCAACTAGTTTTCATGGGGGGTATAAACCAACTTGCAACGGGGGGGTGGCACCACATTTTCGTATACCACATAGACATGGGCAAGAAATTGTGTTTCTTGTAATAGGGGTTATGGGTGGTTACTGTATAAGTTTACATTTTTTTGTATGGGCAAAACCTACGGTCCCACGGTGATTTTTATCACTCTTTCTATGTCTTTCCAAAAATCGATCAGGTGTTTCCGCCTTATGCATTTTCAGCTATGTATAGTATTTCAGTATAACTAAAACTTGAAGTATATAGCATATAGTTATAGAACCAACTGACAATGGGTATTGCGTAATTGTTTCCTTTAGCACCTGACCATGACATATGACACTATAACATTATCATAAGCAACCCCAAAATAAACACAGAAAATTTGGACACCTGAAAATTATGGGCAACATCCTTTTGCAACGCTTTTCGACATCTTTTTTGGGGGGATGCGTGATGCTATGCTTCATCTCACAGTTTCCGGTATCCAACAGAGTTTGTCCAAAGCACGACTGGCAGATCATGTTGTGTGAAATATGTCCAAATATACGTATATGTATATGCATATATACAGCATCTATGTATGCAATGTAATGTAATGTAGTGTAATGTAATGTAGCGTGACGTAGTGTAGTGTAATGGAGTGTAGTTGAATGCAATGCAATGTAGTGTAGTGTAATGGAATGGAATACCTTTACATCCACAAAGCAAAATGTCCCGTCCAACACGCTGGACCTGCCGAGCAACGGAACGATCCTTCGCTTCTTTCTCAGCTTTCTCTAGAAATTCCAAAGCTTCTGCATCACCTGGCCACGCAGGGAATCAGCAGAGCCTTGAGGCTTAGGCCAAGGATTGTGGCATGACGCCATCATTGACCGTTCATTGTGCAATGTCAAAAGCTTCGCAGAACCCAAGCAGGCAGATTAAACTTTTAAGAAATTACAGGTGTAGCTTTTCCACTAGTTACAGTAAGCAGTGTCAGTGTCAGTGTCAATGTCATAATAAAAACAACATCGCCCTGTCCTCCTCCTCCTCATCATCATCATCATCATCCTCATCCTCCTCATCCTCAGCATCATCCTCATCCTCATCAGCATGACTTTTTGGTGTGGTGCCACGTTGTGTCCAACCACACCACACCATCCCCCAAAAAAAGAAACAGCTACAGCCGCCATACTTGGAAGTGCAGTTCCAGTGAACTAAGTGCATATAAGCCACGGAAGTTATTTGGTACAGAATGCAACTGACGGGGTGTTCCTACCTCGTTCTCCAGTCCCGTCACGTTTTTTGGGGTCTGACCTCGTTCTCCAATGCCGCACTTGTTTTTGACAAATGCTTTCCGTACGACGCCTCGTTCTCGGGGTGTTCCTACCTCGTTTTACAGCCTAGTTATATATAACTCTTGGTTATGGGGGTTGCTACATATCCCACCTATAATTAGGGGGTCATTTCACCACCCATTTCCACCATTTTCCACCTCTGGCCCCACCTGGTTCCGCCATGCGTCCCATCGCTCGCACCGCAGCCACCCGCACCAACTCATCAGGATCAGTGGCCATCGCTGCCACACCTTGCCAGGATCCCATGGAGGCCACACGGGCCAAGGCGTGGATACCTCACCACGGGATCCGCTGTTGCCGCAAGAAATCTCCAACGAATAGCCATGAAGTAAAACGATGTTCCGCAGATCTTGGGGTTCCGTTTCTTTTATTCAATTTTTTTGGGGGGTGAAAAAACTTCTACGGGTTCTTTGTGGTACCCTAAAAATATAGGGGAGGCATCTCCCAAGCATCTCCACACCTGCAAGGCGAACCAGGGAATGCTCATCTTCCAACGCATCCAGCGCTTCTCTGATGGCTTCCGGTTTCTTGCTGTCGTCCTGGCATCTGACTTACCCGGCCATGGCCTGGAGACTGGCCAGTCAACTAACAGTTTGCGAACTGGAAAATGGGTCATTTATAGATGCTTTAGCTATTAAACATGGTGATTTTCCATAGCAAACTGATAGTTTAATGGAGGGTAGGAGGGTAGTTAGATTTAGATGACTATGATTTCCCCTGATAGTTAGTCTTCCCTCAGCCAGCCAATGTCAATCACCTAACAAATCATCAACAATCGGTATCGGTAGCTCATATTGCCTTTCTGGAATGGTCATTCACAGCATTGACCATTACAAAATTTTACAAGTGGACACATCCCCATATGTGTGTTGGTTAAAAATGGGCAGCCTGCGAAAGTGGTTTTGAACATGGATGGCTGGTTGGTGGTATACCTACCCCTCTGAAAATATGAAAGTCAGTTGGGATTATTATTCCCAAGATATGGAAAAATAAAAACTGTTCCATACCACCAACCAGAACTCAGTCAAACTCTATAAACAGCTACCATGACTGGGAATGCTTTACACAAGACATAAATCCTCCCACATACCAACCGAATTTGAGGCCATAGATACCAACCAGATGGTTAATCACTGCTAATTTCGACATCTCAGCTGCCATCTCCGTCCGCCTTCTCCGCTTCCGCCCCCAGGCGTCTCAGCAAGTCCCGGCGCTGCTCTGCGGCGTCGGGGTGAGAGGCATGGAGCCTCAAAAAACGGCCGTTTTTCATGGGAACATGTCTGTTTTTAATCATGGATGATGATAGATGATACATGATAGATATTATACATGATGTAGGTAGATAGATAGGTAGGTAGACATAGATAGATAGATCGATAGATCGATAGACAGATGGACGGACGGACAGACAGATAGATAGATGTATGGTTTTATATGATTGTCGAATTTGTATACCTTATTAATTCAAGTACCTTCTAAGGAAGTGTTTGGATCCATAGGGTATGGTGAAAACAGGTGTGATAATGTTGTTATGGCTGTAAGTTTATCGGATCATGTACGATATTTTTGATATAATTACACACCATTAATTAACCATTAACCATGGATATATCTACCGAAAACCCTACTGATATTAGTCTAAATCACAGAAAAAAACAAATAAACTTGGCTAACAAACTGGAGTACCACCTCGCATGCAGCTGAGAAAATATGCCCGTTTTACATGGGAACATACATTCATTACATACATTATATATACCTATATATACATGCATACATTACATTACATTACGTTACATTGCATTGCATTGCATTACATGATATTAGATTACATTACACTACATACATACGTACGTACATACGTACGTACATAACATAACATAACATTACATTACATTACAGTACAGTACAGTACAGTACATTACATACATACATACATACATACCCCCCGTTAATCAAGCTAAACATGCCCCATTTTTAGATGTTTCTCCCATTCAAACCTCCATGTCGAGGGATTTTCCATTGCCATGTTTGATTAGCAGAGTGTAGACATACTGTAATTATATTATATTACATATCACTATATATCATTGAATTTATACCTATTATATTATATATATGATTATATATCATATATACATGATATGGATCAGCTGTTTGTGAAAGGAAAAACAGGTACATAGATGGATCTTTCAGTGATTGATCCCACATGTAACATGGACCTGCTCCTACTGGGATTTACCTCCGCGGGGGGTACCCCCAATTGGATGGTTTACAATGGACAATCCTACTAAAATGGATGATTTGGGGGTACCCCTATTTTAGGAAACCTCCATATGGAGATGATCTTGATGTACAAAGTCGGGCGCCACGATTTGAAGCCACCTATCTTGGGGGTGCCGTTTCAGTTCCAGGTGGGTAATATAATCTATAATCATAGTTAGAGAAGTCTAAATATCCCAACTTACAAAAATTCTCACATGCCATAGCCCTACTTCTATCCATCTTTTCAACCCTCAAAGTTTGACCGATCTTTCACCACCCCCAGCCCTACCAGTCCCATCCCCATGGCGTCGCCGTGCCAAGGAACTGCTCCAAGGCACCAGTGCCCTGTGCTGAGACCACTCGGGACAGCTGGGACAGCACCGGCTCAGCTGCATAGCCTCACCAGGCTCGAGGCAAACGTCAGAGTCCTATCTTACTGGATGACAATATACTTGGTGGTTCATCCCACGAATCGTAAGTGGGTTAGTTCACCCCAGTTTTTTCAGTGGATTAACCCTACAAAAATCCCATTTATAACTGGGGTTATAACCCACTTACTAAGTGGGATGAGCCACCAAGTAGGAGATTCACATACATTGTCTGATCATATAGATATATACAGTAATGAATCTATTGTAGGATATGAATCAAATAATGTCAATAGATTCAATATATGTCAATAGATTCATTATGATATCATATGATCTTTTTTGGTATGACAATATAGGAACACCATGATATGACGATATATCCCTGATATGGTATATTGTTGTTATAGACATATATGGGGATACCACATATCATTATAATAGCTATATAATGCAACTATATAATGTGATTTAAATTTGATTTCTCATGATATCAATGATATCCCCAAGTCATTAGAAGTCCTACTGAGATGGTAACGGGGATAGAATCACATTATATGGCTATTCATTGCTATATAGGGATGTAAAGGGGAATACATATTTTTTGTATGGAGATGTGATGGGGATATTCCATCCCTATAGGCATTGGGATATCATTGATGTGATTAGCATATTTTACCATGGAATTTCAGCCCAATATGGCGATGCCATTTTCGTCATGCGCGATTTTTTAGTTTTGGTGACATGCCAAATGGGTTTCTCGCACTTCAAGTGGGAAACTGGGACAAGGTAAGAAGTTCAACAGGCCCTGATGATGTGATACAGTGATAATAGGGCTGGGGTGGGGTGGGAACGTCATGGCCAAAAACTGTTTGCTGCACAGGCTGCGCTATAGCATCGCCCCTGTGAAAGATCCAGTGGCAACTGTTTGCTCAAGCCTATGGAATCATGTGAAAGCCACTGCTTGCTTGACAGATTTAAAAAAAAACACATCACCTGTCCAAGACGGCGCCAAAGCTTGGCCCAAGATACCGGTAGCAAAGAAAAAACATCAAACAAGGCAGCCACAGGAACCGAGAGTTTTTTCGAGGTTTCAACATCGGAACGCAACCAACAGATTTGAGATGCAAAGGTATGCAAAGGTTGTCAATCGTGACTGCATGGACGCTGAAGGAAAAAGACGCATGAGCGTCTGCGCTTCTTGGCTTGGAAAACCCAAATTCTTTCAAAAATTAGGTTTGTGCATGTCCAGCCAAACTTGATAAGCATTCGACAGAATGCAAGAAGCAACCAACAGGAAAAAATCACTGTGAAAGCAACATTCTGGCTAAATCAAACAAAATGGTGTATGTCCACGGCCCCCTGCGGTGTCGATCCCTTGTTTCTGGATGCTCATCCCCCGGTACAAGATCTTGAAATTGTATCGGCATTGATCCGTGAGCCATATGACGAAACTAAAATCCTTTCAACATGACACACACACAATGCTGACACAATCTTATCTATAGATGGCCAGTCGCATTTGTCTCTAATCCTAGTACTAGGCTTGGGATTGGTCGCACGCGCCACGGCCACGCCTCGTCGAAAGACTGCCATGGCGCGGATGCGGCGGAAAGCCATGGTGAAAGCCATGGCCGACAGGCGCCCACAGGCGTCAGGGAAAGCGGCCCCAATGACTAATTTGTCCTTCAGATATTGAAGGATATCTCGAGATGATTGATGATTGTTTATAGGAAAATATATGGTGAAGAACAGGAAGCCAGACCTCATCCACTTCAGGATGCCAGAGAAACTTGAGAAATCGTCAACATCGCTTCTGCATACCTGGTGCAAGTAATTTTGATGGTCCATGGGTCCTACAGGTTGAAATGACATTCCCAGTATTGACGGAATGGCAAAAGCAGTTCAATGAAGCAGGGTCGGCAAAAATTAGAAGCTCTCAGATAACAAACAATCTTCGCAGGGACGTAGGTTTTTTAATGATTTTTTTATCCAATCATCAAGCCCCATCTTGAGGACAGCATGTCGTCACATCTCGTCAAGCCCCATGTAGTCAAGGATGGCTTGTGACACAAAGGCATCACTGGAGTCATATGGATGCGATGCATGTTGTTCATGTCAAGAATTAAGCGTCCATTCATGTATTCATTTATCACATATAGATAAATAAACACACACACAAACAAATAAATGAATAAATTATGTGTATATATATATCATATATGCATAAATACATATTCTGTATATTTCTGTATATTGCATTTGGAAGATTCAGGAAGCACACTTTCAGGGAACCACTCTTAAAGAAACATCTCTAATCAAAAGGTCGAATAGTCAATCCCATGGGCCATGTCAAAAAAAGTTTTCAAGCGTACGAGGGACTCTTGCTGTCAACTGAGAATGTGCAGCTGTTTTGCTCGCAGCATAGGCAGTTCCTGATGACTTCTCGAAAGTCACTCACTAAACCCATGCGTCCTGTCTGGAGTACCTGCGCGGCAAGTTTCTCTTGGCAAGTCATACATCCAAACACAAGCCTGGTTGACTGGATCATTTGTTGCAATCTCAGGATATCTCAAGTGCCTGCGCCCTTTTTTCTTGGAGCTTGCAAAATGGAGCGATTGAGTGGAACATGTCCGATGGATTCAAATGAGAGTTTTGGCAAACCATGAAAATCATTTGCATATGTCTGCATTGGAATTTGGTGTGCATGTGACAGGGAACGGACTACATGTTTGCTTCCATCATGTCACCCTCGCTGGAGTTCCAGAATTGTCTTCCGTATTGTCTCTGTGGCTTTGACAGACTTTGCGCGGAGCAGTTTTTTAAAAAGTTGTGAACGCTTGCGGCTGGTCTAGAGACTCTGTGATGCACAGAATTTGAAAAGCGGGCGTGGGACATGAGACTCTGAGCATCATCCACATGTCCAAGCCCAAGTCGCTGCTACAGAACACCAACGACTCACAACAGATCGTAAAGTTCGTGATTCGAAGAATCGCGTTCAAGTCCGACGATTTCCACTGAGCAGCATTCAAGCGGCAATCTTCTCCTAGCCATGTCCGATGAATTGCTCCGTTTGCCACACTTGCAAGGTCCTGCAAAAAAAAGAGAAAATTATCGAGATGGTTGATTTCCATGTGTCTCTGTGGAGATGTTCCAAATGCGATTCTATCTCCAAGTTCCAGAATTGCTGGAGAGCTGCTTGGCAGATCCCATAGCCGTATCTGCTGGAAAGAATGAATCAACACTTTGGCATCCCCGTTCAGATTGGACCCGAGGGGTTGGGAGCCCCATTTTGTAGCTACAGAACGGCGTCCCCAAGGTGCCCTTCTTACAAGTTGGCAGAACCCAACGTTCACCGAGGAAGGTTTTTGTTACAAAATGGCAGTCCAAGCTGACCCCTAGTTACAAAATGAGTCACCGATTTTGCTCGACTCGCATCCGCTCGCATCCGTTGGCTCGATTTGCCCTTTACAGAATGGTGGGGACTGGGGGTGGCTATACTCGCACTATCCTAGGATCCCTGGGAAGTAACCTGCAACAGCCCGGCCAACCCGAGTCGCGGTTCATTTTTTCCGTTCTTTTGCGTTCATCCGTCTGTTTTGGCGTGACGCTGTCTAGCTAAACATTAAATACAACGTTGGATGTCATAATCAAAAAATATAAATATATCGATATATATATATATATGTATATATATATATATTATCTGACCCCTAGTTACAAAATGAGTCACCGATTTTGCTCGACTCGCATCCGCTCGCATCCATTGGCTCGATTTGCCCTTTACAGAATGGTGGGGACTGGGGGTGGCTATACTCGCACTATCCTAGGATCCCTGGGAAGTAACCTGCAACAGCCCGGCCAACCCGAGTCGCGGTTCATTTTTTCCGTTCTTTTGCGTTCATCCGTCTGTTTTGGCGTGACGCTGTCTGAGTGGCCAAGCTAAACATTAAATACAACGTTGGATGTCATAATCAAAAAATATAAATATATCGATATATATATATATATGTATATGTATATTATATTATATATATATAATATTTTATATATATATATATATATCATATATATATATATTTAAATAGATGTGACTCATCTCGAGCATTCATGACCACTCAGACGCATCAGACTTTTCAAGGCCTCTCCCAAGCCCTGCACCCAAGGCTATGAAAATTATTCTGTGATTTTTTGATTCCATCCAGTTTGTAGGGGCTATAGTTGAGTATTATCCATTTACGCTTTGAATCCATCCAATTTGTAGTGGTTATTGATTAGCCCTCCAGACTCCGACAGAATGGTCGGGACTGGAGGGTAACAAACTCGCACTTCCAATGCAAAATTCCGGTACCAGGGGGGGTCCACTTACAAGATGGCAGAACCCAGGGTCAAAATTTTGCACAAAATGGTAGCCAAAAACCATTCTGTAATGGCCCTGAGGCCTCAGATTTAGTAACAAAAATTTCAACGGGTATACTTTTGCTGTCTACTAGTCTTTTGCTTTGTTTTTCGGAGGCACACTTTCGATTGATTTCCTGAGGCGCGGATCTTTCGATCCATCTTGGTCAGTTCTCCTTATACTTCTTCCTCTGTTGTTTGGTCAGCTTCGGGCAGCCTGGGCGGCTCATGGCCGGAATTGACAAAGAGGTGCAAATGGAACAATCGATCTGCAAAGCGCTGAGTCTTAAGCAACGTTTCCCGAAAGACTTCCGCGCCAGCCGGTCCATGTTGAGCGCGAACATACTCGAGTAGCTGCAGCAATGGTGATGTGGACGGCATCAGGGGGAAGTTACGCACTTCTAAGCATGTTTCCACGAACAAGTCCTGAGCTGATACAGTCGCCTGCCCCAATTTCAACCTTTGCTCTGCCAAAAGGCACAAATAGAATTCCACATCCAACCCTCTCAGGTCTGGAAATGCGAATATGGCCACCCGAGCTGCTCGCTGAACTTCTGGGTGATTTCGGTGCAGATGGCCTTCTTTGTCCGTAACATTTTTGTAAACTCTGCCTTGGGCGCAAGTCTTTGGATCCATTTTGGTATCTCCTCCCACTTCTCCCATTTGGTTGTCCAACTTTTTTAATTGGACCAATGGCACTACATCTGTTGTTTGGTCAGGTTCATGGCCGGAATTGACAAAGAGGTGCAAATGGAACAATCGATCTGCAAAGCGCTGAGTCTTAAGCAACGTTTCCCGAAAGACTTCCTCGCCAGCCGGTCCATGTTGAGCGCGAACATACTCGAGTAGCTGCAGCAATGGTGATGTGGACGGCATCAGGGGGAAGTTACGCACTTCTAAGCATGTTTCCACGAACAAGTCCTGAGCTGATACAGTCGCCTGCCCCAATTTCAACCTTTGCTCTGCCAAAAGGCACAAATAGAATTCCACATCCAACCCTCTCAGGTCTGGAAATGCGAATATGGCCACCCGAGCTGCTCGCTGAACTTCTGGGTGATTTCGGTGCAGATGGCCTTCTTTGTGCATGGGTTTGGCGAATTTGACTTGTGGGAGAACAGAGTCATGAAAGGAAACATCCAGAAAGTGACGTCTCAAAACTTTCCAGAATGAAGATAAATCGAATTCTGCGAAAAATTGCAATCTTTGCATGTGGACTGCTTGTCGCCCTTTGGTTGCCCGGGCAGATTCACTGCGAATGTCGACTGGTGGGCGCTCTCTCCTCACCCATCTTGCCATGCGTGATCCAAATTCATGCAACCGGTTTGGCTGCGCCATATATCCAATAATCACAATTGCTGCCAGAATTGCCATATATCGAGGGACGTATTGTACGTCATCCCCGGGTGGCTTGGAAGGCTTGTTTAGTTCAGTGATCAAGCCCTCTGTAAGTTGCTGAGTTTTTCGCAACCCTTCCCGCAAGTCTTTCTCAGCAGCTGGTCCATGTTGAGCACGAACATTCTTGAGTAGATGCTGCAAGGGCGATGTGGAAGGAATCAGGGGGAAGTTACGGACTTCTAAGCATGTTTCCAAGAACAAGTCCTGAGCTGACTCAGTCGTGTGCCCCAATGTCAACCTTTGCTCCGCCAAACGGCACACAAGGTATTCCACATCCAACCCTTTCAGGTCTGGAAATGCGAATTTGGCCACCCGAGCTGCTCGCTGAACTTCTGGGTGACATTTATACAATTGTTTGAGTTGTTCGATAAAATTAGAATCATAGAGGGAAGCGACCCCAAAGCGTTCTTGAATTGCTACGTCTACCTTGAGCCCATGAGAAAGGAACTTTGCAGCTTTTCCAACTTCGCTTGAGTCGCTGAGAGGGACGAAATCTTCTTCTTTTGTGAGCCGGTGACAGATCCAAGAATTCCCGCTCGGAACAAGAGGAATTCGTATGGATTGCTATGTCGACGTCAGAACCGTACTCATTGTGCACCTCGCGCAAGACTGAGCCATGCAAGCCAACGGTGCAATTTGGCCATATCTGCTTTGCGTGCTTTTCAATCAAAGGGAGAATGACTTTGATTCGGCTTTCCCAGTCATCTGGCCTCAGGCTCTTTGCAAATTTATTGAACCGTTCGTTTCGAAGCATCACATCTTTCAGCCGTTTTACTCGCTCAGCTTCCCCCGGAACATTGTCTTTCTTTCCTCGACAGTCCAGTGGAAGGATTTCTTGGCAATTCAACTTTGTTCTACCCTGACCCTGGGATGAGGATCCACTCCCAGAGAAGTAGAAATTGCCCAGACACAATGTGGTGGCAGCCAAACAAGGAAACATTGAGATGTTACCTCCTCCACTCATCACATAGTGCGTCTTCAAATTGTGTCTAGCGTGCCTCATTCTCAAGCCCGGCCAAGTATGCAGAAAAGCCCTGCCAACAATCAAACATGGCTGGGCCTGCACATAAGTTTGCAGACTGGAAGCAACGAGTGCAAAGTTTCTGGTGCCATGAGGGCTGAAGTCTACAAATTTGCTCAAGATGGGCTCACTTGCTATGACAATTGTACTGGAGCTAGAAAATTGTGCTGCAACCACATGGAAGGCGAAGAACTATATGCCCTGTCCTTTTCCATGTGTTAAACACTTCAGGCTTTTGTAAGATGGCTGCGATCAACTCAGGGTTTTTGTCGTTGTCGGGATGGTGCATGTCCAAACCGCCATCAGTCACCCACCTTCAGTGCCAAGTTTCTGCTTGGCTCGGCCTGGCCAACGGCACGGCAAAGCTAGGAAATGGCTTGATATTGCGACCACACATGGCTACAAAGCCTAAGAGCTGGCTAGGAATTGGCAGGAAATGGTACAGTGTACTCTTGTCTCCAAATCTCAAACTGTCCACCTGAAGTAAAACATCACAGCATCACGTGTTACAGATGTCGGATTCCAACAACACGCGATCCAACTTCCTACCTGATTTCCATCATATATATATATATATTAGGGTTTCAAATGGCATCCCCTTACCCTCAGTGCCTCCAGGATCACCTGGCGTGTCATCTCAATCATCAAAAATGGGAACTCCATGGAACTCCGCTGTCATATTTTATTAGCTCTCTTCCAGCCTTTGAAATGAAAACAACCGTGACATCCAAGAAAGCTACAGACATGGATCATGCCGACGGCAAGACTTTTATAAGATGTTTAGTTGTCTTGATCGACGCATCAACCATTGCCAACTGCTATAAGGCATTCTCCGGGTTGCGGGTCACCTTCAGACTTGAAGCGCCGAGCTTTAAAATTTACGATATTTCAATACAGATCCTGCCACCATCCATTGTTCCAACGTCAATTTTGGGACTGGCGGACTCTTCGCTTTCCCCAAGCTCCGCGAGAATCTCCTCACCAAGGCTCGGTGCAAATGATCTTCAGATGCCAAATTTCCCTACCGTTGTTTCCACATCAACTGCCGACCTTGCTAAAATCCACAAGCTAAGGGGCTGCACGGTCCATTATGAAGTTGCAAGACTTTAGACACATCATGGCTCTGTCCTTCTCTTCCGCTTCCAGGTTCTCTTCCTTCACCTGCCAACACTGGGCGCGACTTCCGTAAAGAATCGAGGAAAAATAAATCAGGATTAACTTGGAAAATCCAAGTTGAAGTGATGTGATCTGACCTGGGAGCAGTCCTGTTGGATCCTCTGGTAGATCAATTCAAGAACATAGGATAATCATTTGCGAATAGGAGAATGACGTGGATGGTTGTGGGGATAATTATGGGGATGAATCTGGGGACGATGGGATTTAAACCAACCACTTTCAGCTAGCATGCCTGACAATGGACAAGCTTCACATGAGTGGATGCAGTATGTTAGCAAGATGTGGGCAACAGTCAATCATTGAGGCCAGGAGAACCACATGTTGATCATGTTCAGTACAGTAGTGATGTCAACTCTGGATTCAAATCTGACTCTACAATTGGGGGGTCTATCCCTGAAATAGTGTTCCAAATTACTGTTCAAATTGGCAACCGCCCACCCTTTTCAGAAACTGAAGGCTTTCGCAAAATCCTAGGTTTTTGCATTAGAGATGATGTCAAAAACTTATCACATAATTTAAATCAACATGAATATGTTTCGTAATAAATGCCACTAATCCCGTATTCTCCCATAAAAACCATATGGAGGTTTCCTAAAATGGTGGTCCATTTATAGATGGAATTTTCCATGAAATAAACCATCCAGCTATTGGGGTACCGAGTCCGGTGGAGATACAGTAAACATATCCTGTGTATGTATATATATATATATAATTAATATATAAATATATGTATTATATATATATATATTATATGAATATTAGATATATGTATTATGTATTATATTAATATATATATATAATTAATATATATATATGTATGTATGTATATATGTATTAGATTAATACATCTATATATATATATATGTGTGTGTATTCTATATATATATATATATTATATATATATATTATATATATATTATATATATATTGTATATATTATATTAATATGTATGTATATATATATGTTGTCATCCTGAAGTAGGACTGATTATCTCATTTGAGTCATTTGTAAACAAAACTACCAAACACATACGGTATATTAAAGCTTCATCCTGATTTTGTTCAAAAACCTTCACTAAAATGAGAAGAGGATTGACACATCCTCTGCTCAATTTGCCCCTCGATTTGCCGCTATTTTAGCATTGGATCATTTTTTGTTTTTTTCTGCATCTTGTCAGGGGTTGTTACATATTGCATACATGAATATGATATGTATATGGTGATCTGATACATTCTCATACCCAGAATGTAGCTCATGATTTCTGCTACAAGGCTACAAGGCTTTTTGCAAGAAAAGGAAAGGAACACATGTCACATGTTCGACTGGGCCTGAGAAAAGACCAAAACTTCCTCAGCTGAAAACACCACCATATAATCATATAGAATCAAATAATATTAAATTAAATATGTGCAATAGTGCAATGGTAGATGGTATTTCTGGTTTTTGGTCATGTGTCATCCATAAGAGCTATCCGAATCCAATGGCTATACAAATCCCTATGAATTGGCGGAATGACCATTACCCTTTGTGGGAAAACAAGGTCAAAACATTGCCCATATGTTAAATTATCATGAAAATTGGAAGTCCTTGTCTTCTCTTGGCAAAATGCTGGGTTATCATTCATCACATAGTGAATCATACTGATATGGACCACATGGATGTGTTGTACATTCAGGGATCAATTAAATTGGATGCAGCACCGATTCTGCCCTGCCTGCACTTTCACCTTTTGGGAAATCAACGCCTGCAAGGCGAAAATTCATCCAGAATTCGTTCTCGCGAAAGCTCAAACTGCAAAGCTGTTGAAAAGCATTTTGAAACGCATGTCTTCAACTTGTTCCCCCATTTTTTCCACCATTCCTTCCACGAAAGTTCCCGTCTCCTCACCTGATGTCCAGCCATCCCAGCTGTCCATGTGGGTACCTTCCATCCTCTCATGGCCGCGCTCAGCGCGGGCAGGCGCTCGTTAAAGCGGGCACCCACAAGACCTGGTGCCATGGTGGACCGTGTGGCAAGGGCCGGGACCTTTATTCGGAGCAGTTTGGGTTTGCTGTTGGAAAAAGGCGTTGATATGTGAGATGTTTGTTTTATATGGATTTATGGTGGTTGATGTATGTTGATGTCCTGTTGGTATCTATATAAAGTGGTTGACATGGAAAAGGATTTGTGAAAACATGGGATGGGTTCAATTTGCAAGTGCAGCTGGCAAGTAGCCCTTTTGAGACTTGGCCGCGTTCATCTTCGGCCCATGGCCACTTCCTAAAACAGAGCCCACCAACGAACAAGGCCCAGCCTATGCGTCTCAACTGCTCCAGTGAGCGCTTCTTCTTCACAGCTTCAGGGGCCAGGGACGTGTCCTGGATAAAGTCCCCCCAACACCTCGTTGCAGCCAGGTGCCATCAGACTGCCACAGCTCGATGCTTGTTTCAACATGTCATCTGGGTAAATTATAATATTCCACTAACCTGAAATAAGGCCATTTTGGGATGATTCCTCTTACTAACCATGATTCCAGTGAGGGAGAACAGTGAGGTCGTGATTAAATTTACCCAGATGTCATGGAAAACGTCATACCCACTTTCTGTTGATACAAGAAACTTCGGCAGCTCAGAGTTCTGGAGCTAAGTCAGCTAAGTCTGAATCATGTCCAATCATGTCTGGATACAAGGATTGGCCCACGCAGCTGTTCCTAGACTTGAGTTTTGCAGCATTTGGATTAGCAGCTCGGTGAAAACATGGATCTTACTCTATCTCGTACATTTGGACATCGTAGCAATAGGAAATACCCAGTTTATAAAGTTCATCATCTACAACTGGGCTATGCTCGATAGCCATGAAGGATTTCCAAAGGGTATCATGTGTAGCTGCTGAAAGCTATAAACATATTCTAAAAAATCCCATTCATTCCCCATTCATTCGTTGGTTAAATCACCATTTTCCCCTGCTTTCCCCATGGTGTTTCTATCTTTCATCAGGCTGCAACCATGGCGCTGTCCCTCAGTTCCCGCGGAAAAAAGCACCGTGGCTTTCCCCCGAAGCTGCTCGCTGCCAACGTGAATCTTGGCATGGGACACCTGGGAATCACTGGAGGTTAAAAAAAAACCAACGAGGAATATCTGCAGGAGCGCTATGGGAATTTCTGAAAATGGTGTCTGACTGTAAAATTCTGTATACCTCCCAATTTATTGTGATTTTCTCGAGGGAGAATGATGAGAATCCAGATGAAAAAAACGGGGTTCCCTATTTTCAGACAAACCCATGAGACCAAAAAAAATTGGTGCCAAAACCCATGGTTTTCCTGCATGTTTTTTCCTTTAAACATCCTGAAAAACTAATCCGTTGAGAGGAACCAGATGCCCCTGGCACGCCAAATTCCACTTTTCAACTGACTTGTTATGGAGAATCAAAAACAAACCGGAGTATGGATCTTGAATGAAAGATCATGAAACCATACAGAAACCTAAATGTCGACTGAAATGATTTTCAGGAGTGATCTGAACATATTTTTAGCGATTCAATCATTGCAGTGAACATCGGAGGGTCAGGACCGAATCCCATGTTGGAAACATGTCGAAACCGGGTGGGTATTTTTTAATACGAAAAAAACCCGACTTCCAACGAGTGGATTCTCTGATCATTATCTTCCCTGGTTCTTTTCCAAACATCTTTGGGAGAGTTGTCAATCCCACATACCTTGGATCATGGTGATCCTGCCCGCCACGCACCTGGAAAAGTTTCATGGCCTCGCAATAGCTGACTTTGCTGGCTTGATGGTTGATGGAACTTTAGATGTCGATCAACTAGAATCAACCATCGACTAGCATCATTTTGATCACTATCATAATAGAATGGTTGGTCCCGTGAAAGATGAAAAATAATCCAGCTTTAACTATCATCAATTCAAACATCCAATTTCATGAGAATATTCAGACCTATCATATGACAAACTTCTCCTTCTTCTTCTTCTTGCGTGTCATAGGTATGGTTTGTGAAACTGACATGGAAAAAAACGGGTGCCATACATTCTCAAGTATCATCATAAAATTCATGGACGTTCGGATTTCTCTGAACATAGGGTACCCCTGGCGAATCACTATTTTCCTTCCTAACACTGTTCTCTTTGAGGGTATGCCCATGTATGCCCCATTTTCAGACAGATCCATTCATCATTTTGAGCTGGTATGAGCTGGTTGGGACTATAAAAGTATATTAAAGCATATTAAAGTACTAAAGTATCTACCCTCTGGTAAACTAACACCATTGTTAATGGGAAAATCCACTATTTCTATGGCAATTTTCAATAGCTACGTTAGTCATTACCAGAGGGTAACCAGTCGGTTGACCCAGCATTTGAACAGTCGGATTTCTGCCGGAGCCTTCGCACTGCGGGTAGCCACCTTTTTGGAGAGTTTCAGTTGCGCCCGGGAATCCACCGTGGTTAAAACGGGAGGAATCCATGGGGGTTAAATGGAGGTAATGGGATTGAATGGTTTAATGGAGATTTTATGGTGATAAATGGGGATTTTATAGTGGTTTACTGTGATTTTATAGTGATTCAATGGGATATTAATGGGATATACCCTCTGGTAAACTGACATAACTATGGAAAATCACCATTTGTGATCTAGCCTCTGGTTATGACTAACGCTGCGAACTGGAAAGACACCATTTGTGTAAGGGAATTCCTCTATGAACGGGGCCATGTTCGATAGCTATGTTTAATTACCATATCGTATTGACCTATTGGGAAATAAAATTATAGAAAGCACGAATCAAACTTTGTGGGAATGAATGGAAAGAATTGATATTAATGATTATATATATATATACCCTGACTTTCCAAACACCTTTGAAACAAAGGGGGTTAGTAGAACCCCCTTTGTTTGTTATGAAGCTGTGCTATTCTGGCAAGTGGTTCATTATGTTGTGTGCTCAGTTTTTTTGCTTCGTTCGAGTGAATGCCATTATTCAGACTGGGAGAGCTGAAGATGTTCAAAGGGCAAAGCAAACAGATTTTCTCAAGACTGGCGAGGCAAATCCACTTTCTTTTTCACGAGCGGATCAAGAGCGGATGTCCAAAAGTAAGAAAGACAGCGGCAAAGACTTCAGAAACCTTCATTTTATATTTGAACAGCAACCTAAATCATTCTCAAACCATGAGTAATCCATTGCAACAAAATCCACCCACCTATGAAAATGTCATTACTTCCAGACACAAACCAGTAGACATCATCAATTTATTCTATTGGGGATTTGGGATGGTCGGAACGAAATTTCAATACGTTCTAGTTTGAAGTACTGAATAGTTTGAAGACTTACATCCTCTAGACAAGTTAATTATTGAGTTTAACACATTTGGACCTTGCAATGTTGCAAAATACGTTGCGTTGCACTGTGCGCTAGATTCCATCACAGCATGCAAGCACCACACGCGAATATGTTCCTGTACTTGCAATGAATTTCCTTCATTTTAGCGCTTGCTCTGTTTTTTTTTCAGGGTCGCGGTAGTGCGCTGAGACAAGAGTTGAGACTTGCGAGCTGTTTACCAATGACACCGTACTCCAAGCAGCAATATTTGGCCTATTTCATGTGAATGTACCGATTCTAAGTTTCATGTGGTCTGTCAGAAATTGCCATAAATGGGGTGTCACAAACAAACTTGGCCAACCATATCCATATACAAGGTCAGCCAATCATGTGTATTTTTTTTGAATTTATCCTTGCCTCTCTCACTCTTTTTCTAAGTCATGTTTCAAACAGTATAAACAGTGGCAGGAAGAGCAAAACAAACAATTCAGAGCATCAGGCAAATCACTTGTCTATTCCCGAAAGCTTGCTTTTCATTCCAGCACCCGGTCAATAAGTGAAACGATGCAATGCGGTATAGCTTGGCTAGTTCAGAGACGATGTGGTCCCTTTTGTCAGCAAATAGCATCTCTCGTACTTATATTGCACAAAGCCTGATACACTAAGTACCTACGGCAAGCGTTTGTCACATAATTTCAGCTGGTCCAGGAGTCTGGCAGCCCTACCATTTGATTGGTCTGACAGTATTCCCTGGTTACGGTTGTGCTTTCTTCTTTGCTATTCTTGCTGGTAGACGCAGGGGATTGATTCAGAAGTGAGCCGAAGGTATAGAAAGACTGCAAGCATTATGTAGACATGGGACCAGCTTGCATTATAACACACATAGATACACTCCAATGTGGTTTCAATTGTCCATTGTACAGACATCCCTCGAAAAACAAAGCTATGAATATGTACGTACACCCTTTGGCTTCTACACTCGCTCTCCTATTTCTACTCGAATTGGTTCTTTAGGTATGTATCCGGCCATGAATTTGCTAAACTCTTTCATCAGCCACAAATTCTTGGCACAGAACGCAGAAATTGTGGAATTGAAGTCGCAATTGTTTTAAAAAAACATGCCCTTTTTGGGTACCTGTCGTTCACGGCATTTAATGGGGGTTCACGCCAAAAAAAGGGGTTTCACGCCAGTTTCACGCTAGTTTCACGATGTTTCACGCTGTTGGCTTTTTAGGTGTGCACAATGTTTATTCAAAGGCCTCGTCTTATTGCTGGACAAGATTTGCAAGAAAATGCCCAGTAATTATTGCATAAATTGTTGCTTTAGAATTCATGTATAGCAGTTGGTCACCGGGTTATTTTGCAACTCCATTGGCATATGCCGTTTGTTTCTGTCATATTCCTTGCTGATTGAACATCTATCATTTTTTTCCCAGGAAAACTGTTTGCAACTGCCAAGCAACAAGCCTTTGAGAAGAGACGAATAAAATAACGCATCCCAAACGAATATTTGCAGGTTAGGTTCGGCTTTAGTAAGTTCATCTCGCAGAGGCACACTAGCTGCAAGTAAACGGACAAATGGGTACAAACAACAACCTAGAGAAAGAAGCAAGCTCACCTAGGACATGACCTAGTTTGCGCAGAAGAACTTCAATACCGGAACTTACTCTTGCGAGCTGAGGTATCATGATAGCATGGCCCTTAGAATGCAACAACACACTGCGAACCACACACATTGAGAGCAAAGAGATTCCACCATGACATGTGATTTAATATATGATATTGTTTGATATTTTGTTTTTTTGTTTGATATTGTTTGCTTATATATATATATATCAGTAAATTGATCGAAAAATCAAAGTGGGTGGAAAAGCAAGGGTAGGCCTGCAAACCTCAAAAAACACTGTGCAAATTGCTTGAAAGAAAACAACCATTGTCACAACACCTGCAAATCAACTCAGTAGAACCAAGTTCAATCATGTTCAATCTATTGAGCCTATTGCATCCTAATCCCAAATCACTGAACAACAATGTAGACGATCTGCAGTTTTGAAACTGCAGCATCAGTGAAGGCTTATTTGTATATTTGACTGGGCGTTGGCTCAGGATATCTCATGATGTCAAAAACAACAAGTTTGGAGTCATGTTGGCTTCGTGAGTCCATGGATTGCAAGAATTAGCAAAATCGCTGTGAAATTTGATGGTCACACCACACAACTTCCGTGCAAAAGAAAAAGGTTGCCCTGGGCCACCAGATGCCCCACCACATACGGAGACAAAAACCGCCCCATTGCCACAAAAAAAAAGTAAACAGGGTTGTTGGATGATTTCTTATATGCTTCTGACCCTTTTCGTGTTTGTGCTGGTAGGCCCAATGACTCTCACAACAATTTCCGCCATACTGGTTGTTTGTGGGAGACAAATTGTCACCAATAGCGCGTTCCTTTTTTGAAGTTTAGTTGAAGCCACTGCGTGACAGGTTAAATAGGACTTTGTCGTCACGAAACTGATTTTGAATCATTAGGACAAAAACATAATTTTTCAAGGGGCTTTTGGACCTCCATGACGCGAAGTTTCCAAAAGGTTCTGTGTGGACATGGCTGTCAGAAAACATCAGAAAAGTTTGATTCACAAAATGCTGCCCTTGGATCCCCCAAAACTGGATCGATACTTTCCATGTTGACTACATCTGACTTTGTGTGCTCCTAGAGGTGTGCACGTTCTTGAACACTTCCAGGGCCAATGATCAAACGATCAAGTGCAAACAAAGGGGGTTCACGCCAAAGAAAGGTCGCCTCCGAACCCCCTTTCTTTAAAAGGTCGAGGACTCCCAGGGTATATATACTAATGATATATATTTATATTGATGATATATTTTCATATTAATGATATATATATATATATATTATATTGATGATATATATATATATACATAAGATAGATAAGAAAGTCTTATAAAAGTTTACGTTGCTAGCTTCTCTTACCGGCACCATTCTACTTCTTCGGACGCCGAGGAAGGATTGGTACCGGATGGACTTCTTCGGAGCTCCGGGACTTTGCAAGCCATTGATGGTGTATATTAAAAGCCATACAGTGGGCTACAAAGACCATTGATGGTGGGATATTTCTTTTGGGGGTTGTAGTACCTAATTTTCTTGGACATTATGATGGATTATAGTTATAAAAAATGGGATCTTTTTTTGTGATTCAATGGGATATTAATGGGATATACCCGGCCTGGTAATGACTAAGAGTTTGCGAACTGGAAAATGGACCATGGAAATAGTTGATTTACCTAATAAAAATTGTGGATCTTTCCATAGTTTTTGTTAACGTTTACCAGAGGGTACTTAATAATAAACATACAGTAACTGTTGAGTACAGTACCCCATGGCATGTCCATAATGTCATGGAGCTGATATCCTTAGTTCGTTACGTTCGTTTGACAGAAAGCCCCAAAACGATTCAGTGGGCTTATGATGATCCAAAACAGAAGAGTATCATGTCCCAGCTATGATATTTAAAAAAAAAAACAACAACAACAACAACAACTGGGCTTATTCCGCCTTGCCGGGAAACAGCAACTCCGTCAGCGTTCCTTGCTCGGCAGCCTCAGCCAGGCAAAACTCACCTTTTTTTTGGACATCCCGAACTGCAAACTGCAAACAGCATTACCTTTAAGTAACTATATATACACATACTGTACTAACCCCCAAAGAAGATAGGAAAAAGCACAATTATCTCTACTTTAGTAGGATTTCACAGATCTGTCGTTCAGGGGGTTGCTATATATATATATACATATATATTTATTTATACTTTACATGTCCGCACCGGAAAGTGACACACTCCAACTCGCAAAAGGGCGAGTTCGCTGCAAAGTTACCCCATCCATGCTTTCTGAACAAAGAACATGAAGAAAACATCACAAGACATCCATCACCTGGTTCATCCTGGTTCTATGTAACTAATATTAAATAATCATAAACACATATAATGTGGATAGAGGTATAGAGATTTCCTAAAATGGGGGTACCCCCAGTTCTCATCCAACTTTTATTTTCGGATTTTCCATGAAATAAACCATCCAGCTATTGGGGTACCACCATGACTATGGAAACCCCCAGCCGCGCACCTCGAAACTCATGGCCTCATCTTCACTGCTGGAGCTCCGCCAGGCATTCATTAGTTCTTCACCTCAAGTCGCTATGACAAGACGTGATATGCTTAAGGGAAAAAAGCTATGTTACCTCATAAGAATGATTAAAATCGAATATTGAATTTAATCTTTACTACATCCGAATTCCAACCTTGTTCATTTGTCAACCTTCACAGACATTTTGTGATTTTATATGACAAAACTTGTTTTTTGTTCGATCAGCAGTGGAAAAACCTCAGCGTCAAGACCTGAAAAAAAAACTGAACTTTGTAGATGACTTGGGTGCATGCAACGCAACAATATAACAATATCTGTCACCTTCCAGAGACACTTATCCCAAGCATTTTTTTTATCGGGATGGGTATAGATATGTGCCATGGTCGAGCTACATGGTGTATGGTTTATATATGGCTTATAGTCATCTATCCCACAATTGGAATCCTCGCAATGGGTGTAAAAGTCGCTGTTAATCCATGTTTTGACTGTCGCACATATGTAGCAACCTTTTCGCCTTGCTAGAAAGATCTTGATCTCTTACGTTATAAGTCGTCCGAAGAAAGCTTACGACAAAGGTAGCAATGCAGCGAAGTGGCCATGTCCATTGGCTTGGATGAAGAAGATCTTGTCACCTGACACACCCAAGGGGATCCATTGGGAAAAAAACTTAAAAAAACATATTTAAAAAAAAAAACATGTACATCTCTAGGTGATTCTAGGTGATTGAGTAGAGATATACCACTGAGATCGGAATTGCTACAGAATCTAGGATCATATAGCTGATATAGATCCACTGAATACGATACCTGGTTTCAACATGTTTTTTTTGCACAGGGATGAAACGCACAGACTTTCACTGCGAAAAAACATTGCGACCCAGTCACTGACCATGCCACTTCTTCTGGCGTCCCATTGGAAAATGCCACCTGGACCCGGTCACCGGCCCGTGGACACAGGATACGACCCGGGGTCATAGATTGGCCTTAGTTTAAACTTACCATCTGGTTATGACTAACAGTTTGCCATGGAAAATCACCATTTTATATCTAGGTAAACCATCATTTCTATGGGCCATTTTCCATGGCTACGTTAAATAACCAGAGGATCAACTATCTTAAGCTAACATCGACAAGCTCTGCAACCCTTCGAAGCAATGGGAATCTGTAATTTTCCGGACAGCAGGCAAACATTCGCAAAAGCAGTGGATACAGAAATCATTTGACACAGACCATGTGTCATAATATGTCAGAATCCTTAGAAAAAGATATATCAATGAATATCAATTGTCCAGGCTACGCACAATCCATCCAGCGTGTTTCAACGGTACACACCTTGAACAACCTCCGAACCCATTTTCAAGACATCGGACCTACGAACCTGTGCGCAGGTTCATTGGCTGATCTTTGAAGAGGTCATCCAAATATCGGGACAACGAAACTTGATGATTCTGAACGAATGCAGTGGAATCCTCAGCCGAGGCTTTCGCAAAGGAAGAAAACGATGGGAACAGCGGAGCGGCTTGTGTGTGTAAATTGAGTGTGGCACCTGCTGTCGATAAAACCTGGGGATTAGCAATGATAGATCTCGAAGTTGTTGGAATTTTGAAGAGTTTTATTCGGAGTTTTTATTTGGAGTTCTTAGATTCATTGTTTCTTGGGCACCCAAAAGAAAGATGTTATTTTGTCACTTCATACCCCATTCTGACTGTGATGATGTAAAATGAACATGACGATTTTGCTGTTTACCACATTCTGTACTTTGCATAGATATAATTATAGCAGATTCATATAGAATTCTAGCCTAAAATCTCCGAGATAAAATAAAGAACTAATATATAGATATCAATAGATATCATAATTGTATGTCGTGACTGCTCTCCACAGACATTGCAGAGATCCTCTCAGTTACCAAGTTTCCATGTAAAGCATCCAGCCGCAGGCGGCGTTTTTGGACCGCAAGCGTTCCTGTAGCCATGGCACCCGGTACCAACTCTCGGCCACGTGGCCTCAAAGCCACTTCTGATGGGTAAAGATAATGTGCTGGGCTGGTGATCATTGGGGGAGACTTAGATTCTAGTAGCAGAGCATCATAGATGGTCACGAAAAATCGACCCCGCCAATTTTTGGGACTACTCTTTCTTAATCAGAGGTTGACATTCATGTGATTTACGGGAGTATAATGGGGATATACATATATATATATATAGTATTATATAGTGGGAGATAGTGGAGGTATAACCAACACATGGATGCAAATACTGAATCTGAATTTGTTCATAATTGAGCAGTTTTTTGTTGATTTGGGAATATTGTGGTGGAATTCCCCCTATCAACATCTTATTAACCATTGACGCTTTGCAGTCATGGCGAGGGTGCTATATACAATTCACCAAGACTGAAGCGATGACGTGGGAAGTTCACCCTCCTTGTTTTGTTCCACCTTTCCGATGAGAGTGTATCAGTAGGGTATGGTATACATATTACAATAAACAAATATAAACAATGGCAGGTCGGTCATGCAGTTTGTACATCCCATACATCAATGAAAAAAGTGTAGTCAAGCAGAAATGGTATCAATATCATTCAATATGTGGGGATCAATAGACAACTCTCAACAGAAAGGAAGGCAAGTTCAAGGGCAAAAAAAAAAACTTCTCCAGCATCAAGTACCTGCACAATCTCTCACACTGTGCCAAGTGGCTGGAAAGCATCGCTTCCGGTTTCGCCAGTGTGAAGCGATAGCCCCACTTGTCAGCATAGGCCTGTGCGCATCGGAAAAACACGGCCAGAGGTTGCAGACTGTCGCTGTTGGGGCAAGATTTTTGCTACGAAACTCATTTCACAGCAAGGTTCACAACTGACCATGACCACCGGATTGGGGTAACAATGGGTAACATATGTATCATTATGAGTCAAAACGACCCACAAAGAAGGTCGGTCAATCACTTTTGACTCATGAACCATCATGAACCATCATGAACCATCATGAGTCATCCAAATTCAGTTCCTTGACAAACAACTGCTACCCCAAGCACCTTGTTGATCATTGCGTTCATGGACCAAAACGACTTCTGATTGAAACTGGTGTCCATGGGTCGTTTTTCCTCAGCGATAAGGGCAAACCCTGGGACTACTACGGATGGCCCATTTGCAGACGATTTCGCTATTAAAAAACGGTGATTTTATTCCGATATTCATTGATTTTCTACAGCTATCTTTATCAGATTGTAACTAAATAATACTAATTTCTATAATAGATCAATCTGATACTCTAATACTAATATGTTCTTATACTTATAGACAATACTCCCTGTACCAACAATTCATGGTTCCAAATCTCTCGACTCAAGTGGGATTCAAGTCCCACCATGCGCCAACATCTTCAGATTGTGGGATTGGACAAATTACCCTCTGGTAAACATACAGAAAACTATGGAAAAATCCACCATTTTTAATGGGTAAATTCACTATTTCTATGGTTATGTTCAATCGTTTTTTGTATGTTTACCAGAGGGTAAGAGATACAGTATCCTCTAGCAATCAAGAGAATCAATGAACATCATGGTTTACTAATGAATAAAGGTGAAGATCCACAACTATTGAAAATATTGGAGAAATAGTTATGGATTTTTTCCACAGATTTTCCATAACTATTGAAACTATTACTCAATAGAAAAGTTTCCCATATATTGCGATGTTCCTATTGGCCATCGCTAGGCCGGAGTTCCCAGCTCCCCATGGAGCTGAATCGAAACGTCCCAGCATCCATCATCAGAATCTCAAAGTTGCAACCAGCAAAGCGGTCACCTGTAGCTGACTTGAATTGACATAACAATGACATGATATAACTATAGCCGAAGGAAGTCTAGAAGTCAAACTTCCGACAATATGGACAGATGAAAAAGCAGAGGTGGGAAGAGCCAGAGAAGAGTCAGAGAAGAGAAGAGAAGAGAAGGAGAAGGAGAAGGAGAAGCAGAAGGAGAAGGAGAAGAAGAAGAAAGAAGAGAAAGAGAAGAGAAAGAGAAGAGAAAGAGAAGAGAAAGAGAAGAGAAAGAGAAGAGAAAGAGAAGAGAAGAGAAAGAGAAGAGAAAGAGAAGAGAAAGAGAAGCGAAAGAGACGAGAAAGAGAAGAGAAAGAGAAGAGAAAGAGAAGAGAAAGAGAAGAGAAAGAGAAGAGAAGAGAAAGAGAAAGAGAAGAGAAAGAGAAGAGAAAGAGAACGAGAAAGAGAAGAGAAAACGAAGAGAAAGAGTCAGAAGAAAGAGTCAGAAGAAAGAACATGCAGGTGCGCACAAGATAGACAAGTCGCGATTCACTTTGTTTTTCAAATCATTTGTGGTTCTCGAGGGTCGAAAAGTAGGCTCGCTAAAGCGGCGGGTGCGGAGCCATCTGGCCAGATGAGAGATGAAAAATTGCACGCCGTTGTGGCACGAAGCACGTTTGGAAGTAATAATGTGCAAAACACGTCAGCTTCGGACCACTTTTGGAAGTTGCGATGTCGGAAAAGCGCACGCCATTGTAGCGCAAAGCACGTCTCGAAGTCAAAATGTCCAAACACATCAACGTCAGACCACTATTAAAAGTTGAGATGTCGAAAAAGTGCACGCCGTTGTGGCGCGAAGCATATTTCCAAGTCAAAATGTAAAAAAAACACACCATGCCCGGACCACTTTTGGAAGTTGACATGTCAAAAAAGTGCACACCGTTGTGGCGCGAACCACATTTCGAAGTCAAAAGTGTTAAAAACTTACGGTCTCGGACCACTTTTGGGCGTTCAGATGTCGTTTGGTGTGGCAGGTGCAAGGGATTCTGTGCATTGCCAAAAGTGAGCAAAACGTGAAGGTTTTTGTAGCATCTCCAAAAACGATGGCAGGCGTGGGACATTGGCAGAGGATCTGGAAAGATGCATGTCGCGTGGCAGGCGGAGTACAAGAGACATGCTCATCAGAGATATTAGGAGGTCTGGCACTGATTTCCTGAGAAGGGTTGCATTTTGGAGCATCAGATCTTCAGGTTTGCTAAGATGATTTTGCGTGACAGGTGCAGCACTTCGTATGTTCTGGCATCACTTTTTCGTGGCAGGCGCGCTAGTTTAGACAGATGGAGTGGAAAAATCGCAAAAGGCCGTCAGCTCTGCACTCTGCTTTCTATTCTTGAAGGAAGTCTTGCAGAATTGCTTCGTTTTTGATGTTGTCAACTTGAAAAATTGAAGAAGTCTCGCAGAATTGTTTCGCTTTTGACGTCGACAAGTTCAAACAATGAGAAAGTCTCGCAGAAGTGCTTCGCTTTCAAACTTGCAGAAAGAAAGACAGACAGACAGACAGATAGATAGATAGGTAGATAGATAGATGGATAGATAGATAGATCGATAGATGGATAGATAGATAGATAGATAGATAGGCAGATAGCTGGACAACTACAACTGCAAGTATAACTGCAACCACACTCCACTACCACTACAACTACAAATGCAGAAACAAATATACTACGCTACAGTACACAATTACACTACACTAGACTAATTAAACTACACTACACTAATTACACCGCACTACACGAATTACAGCACACTACACTACATTACACTACACTACACTACATTACACAACACTACGCTACACTAATTACGCCACACTACGCTACAACTACAACTCCAGCTACAGCTACAACTACAGCTTCAGCTACAGCTACAGCTACCCCTACAACTACAGCTACAACTACCACACAGCCACAACTTCAACTACACCTCAACTACACCACAGCTACAACTTCAACTACACTTCTACACTTCAACTACAACAACTGCAGCTACGACTTCAACTACACTTCAAATACAACAATACAACTACAGCAGCTACAGCAACTACACCAACAAGTACACTGCAACTGCAGCTACAACTACAACGTCAACTATCCTACAACTACACCACAACTACAACTAAACTACAACTACAACTACCACTAGACTACACTACGCTACACTAGACTACAACTACAACTACAGCTACTGCTACAACTACAGCTACAACTACAGCTACACTACAACTACACTACAACTACAATTACCACCACAATTACACTTACATTGCGCTTCGCTACACCACACTACATCCTGCAGCTGTGGGTGAGGTGACCACTGCAACCACTCCAAAAATCACAACCACCTTTCATTCCATCAGTGGATTCGTTCTCCCACCTGTGATTCGCAAGAACCAACCTCTCCTATAGGTTTCCTATTTTTGAAACTTCTGCCACCGCCTTGCGCGGTACTACTGGTATTTATGTTTTTCAACAAGGTTCACATAACTCAAGGGGCCCAACTTGTAGATGGGAACCGTGTAGGGAATACATGACCTAAAAGAGACATCTGCAGATCTGATGTTTTTATATGTGTGTCTACTTTTTCTTCAACAGACTTAGTCGCTTCGCTGGCCGCTCCAATTTGCTTGCCCAGAAAATTTGCTGATGACTTCGGATCTGCCAGGCCTTTGGTCTCCATTTCTTGCATGTCTAGTATATCACCAGCCACTTTTGGCGGTCAATAGGTACATATTTCATATCTCAATTGGGGGTTTCCTAAAATGGGTGTACCTCCAAATCATCA